AGTAGCGAGGGTTTTACCCCGTACGGTTTGTTACGGGTGAGATAATCTAAAGGCTCAGTAGGGGAGTGTTATTGATTTCGAGTAAAGGACTACCATCTTTGTTCTGAGAACGTTGACTGTCAAGAAATGGTTACTATTACATTCGTGTGGTTTTTTTTAAGCTTCATCTATCAATTTAGCTAACTCGATATCGCCCTGACAAATTATTACATTCAAATTGGAAAGCTAACCGCAATTTAAGCAAGCTGGAATGAAAGCTAGCTGGCCCATCATGAGCTCGAAATCCGAAACCGCAAGCAAACCAGAGTAAAGCCACGTTTGATTGATGTTCTTCAACAGCGTTTTTAACAACTTTCTTATAGCATTACTAGTCCTGATCTCAATGGCACATTTAAGTGCTGGGTCATGAGAGTTTCATAACGAGAAAGCACGTGACCCCTTTCCACTCGTTCAGTACATGCTATAGACTGGGCTTAATTACCGGGAGTGAAACTCGAATACAAAAAGGTCGGGGATGCTCGTGGTCTCGCCTAGGGATATACTGAAATCAGGGATTCTAGTCTTAACTTAGGGTGGTCAGGACGAAACGACACTATTTTTAGCTGTCGAAGTATTTTGGATGCACTGGAAAAGATAGCAATTAAAAACGCTCTCATCTCCGCTTCTAGGCTCAATTTTCGCCTGTCTCTCGTGACCAGTCTGCCGGAGCGGGTTCCTTTCCTGAACAGCGGCTGGTAATCGCGGTAGTGTAGGAGCTCTCGTAAGCTTGTTATTCTATTTGTCGTCATTCCAGCAGTTGTTGTTTTGGGGCTAGGGGCATTGCTTCTGTTGTTCGTTCTCTTGTCCTATCAAAGGGTTTGAATTCATTCACGCAAGACCTTACGAGAGCTGCAACATGACCCCGGTAATCGAGCTTACAGTATTCCGTTTTAGTAGTATCTTTTAGGGGTCAAATAAAGCCCTAGCCACGCCCTACTGGTCTCCTTGAGGCGTTTAATTCAAATTTTCCGACGAGCATCTCCAATTTTTTGTCACAAGGGAGGTCCCTCAGGGGCACAATTTCGCTCACAGACTACGAACTGTTCGTGGTTCTCTTGTTTTCCATCGAGAACTCTCGGATTGTACAAATGTGAATGTAAATCTTATAAATAGTGGCCATGCACTGAGCCATACAAACACTAAGCTAAGCTAGTTTACAGGCATGCCACTGAAACAAAGGAACCAAATATTTCAAATAAACGAAACATAGTTAAAAATCCCAACTGGCATGAGGCAGACCAGTTGGCTATTTACAAAGCGTGACCTAGGATTTGAACTCGGGACTACCGAGAAACAAATCCCGCTAGTGGCAGGGTTGAGACCTTGAATTCGGGACCTCTGGATTACAACGCCAGCGCTCTAAACCACTCGGCCACGCTGCCTCCACTCCACAGGGATTGAAAGGAAAATAATTGGCTGCGGAAAACATACGACTCTTCGGCCAACTAAGACTAGAAGGGGATTGCTTTTAGTTCAAGCATATATGAAACTCGTGATCTCTGGTTATTGATAACTCTTTGGGAATCCGTGAAACAGAGCCGTCTTCGGTAGAAAAGCAGACGAAAACAAAAAGAAAGCCTGCCATCGGCTTTTCCTTTCCAATTAAACTGAGAACAGAATGCAAAACTACGAAGGCGTGTCCAACAGAACATTGCAGCTGACCCCGGCCTCCAGAATTGATACTGAACTTCTAGGGTCAGCTATTCCTAGGCATAAGATGGTCATGGCCAGGAGACTAGGTCAGCGACTAGCTGGTACAGTTTCTACATGGGTTCTAGTGAAAGTATTTTTTCAAATTAAACTGGACCCTTGAGATGAAAAATAGAGGTAACTTCAAACAGGTGAATTTACATCTCTGCCAGGCTTTAGGAGATGGGAGTGATGTGCTCAACGTTTACAAATTACTGTTTATTGATTTTTTTTTTTTTTAGAACCAGAACGGCGGGCGACCACTCTACCTTGCCAAACTAAAAGCTTCTTTGGCAGAGTTGCTGTCGTGAATGAAATCAAAGCGAAACTGGTGACAGGGTCATCCCACGTGGTCATTCTTATCGCTCTACCCGGAATGGGGAAGACGGAAGTTGCAATTCGTGTTGGCCATTTGCTACAAAGTGATAATTGGCCTGTCTTGTTCATTGAGAAACAAAAGAATCTCTTGGAACTCTGCGATGAAATCCTCAACCATCTAACAAGTCGCCGCTGGACAACAAGTGACGATATCGTCTACCATGCCAAGCGGAAACTCTCGGAGCTAGAAGGCGACACAGTCATCATACTGGACGACACCGTAAGTGTACAGGGGCCTTCCTTTGATGACTTTGTCAAATTCTTGGTTTCTGCACCAAAGGTTCGAGTAATTATCACCACACAAGAGGATATAGGCTTTGTATCAGCCGGCAACATCCACAAGATTCGTCTTGACCCTTTGGATCTTGCGTCATCCGCGAAAATGCTGACACAGTTGGCACCAAACTCAAAGAACTACGCTGAGGAACTTGCAGACCTTTGTGGTGGGATACCTTTGTTCCTCAACTACGCGAGCGCGTTGATGATCGACGGATTCTGCCCGAGAGTTTTCACCCAAGAATTGAGGAGAAATCCAGCGAAAGTTCTCAAAGGAACCGAACCTCTGGATACTTTTTATCAGAACATGGGTCGCTTTCTCCTGGGGAAGTTTTCCGAGGAAGTGTTGAAGAATTTAGTCAAGCTCTCTGTGTTTCCGTCTTCGTTCTCTACGGAAGACATTCGGTTCCTATTTGATGACGAATTACAGCTGCAAAGCGTTAAGACGAAGCTATTTCAGCGTGGTCTACTACAAATGATCAACGATGAGCTCTTGACGATCCATCCTCTGGTACAGACTTACTGCAGGGAAGAAAGAGACTCCTTAAACTTGGTAGATGTAGGTCAGGCCGCCGAACGCCAGTTTAATCACCATTACCTTGAGCTCCTCAGGGGTCTTCATAAAACGTTCATCACGAAAGATTCCTCTTCAACTGCCATTTGTGGCTTTCGAAAAAATAAAGCTAACATCATGGAAGCTTTAAAAAATTGTCTGAAAGACACCGGCGAAGCACAGGAGAAAGAATTTGCCATAGATGTTGCTAACGAAGTGGTGGATTTCTTAGCGAAAGTTTTGTCACCACCGGTAGAGTGCACTAAACTGTACCAGAAGTGCTGCCAAATCACCAAACAATCTTCCGACGATAAAAGGCTTGTAGACAGTCTAAATTCGAGTGCCTTCCGCCGACTAGACGATTTAGCTCACCGTAAGAGCGACAACACTACTCTTGAGATGTTGCAGGAAGCTTACGATATCGGCAAGAGATTGCCAGAGAAAGAACAGAAAAATGAGAAGCGTGCACACGCAACCACCAAGCTTGGTTTGTGCATTTTGCTTAAGGTAACAATTTAGTTCTAGTAGTTCCATTCCAAAAGTATTAATTCTTCATTTGAATTTTGAATTTGAACAAAACTGTGATAAGCGTGCAAATTGCAAATAATATTGATCACATGTTCTATAACTTCAGTTTCTTTTACCTCAGTGGTCTGCCGTAACCGCAGGTGAGAAAAAACTGTATATATTGACAATATTTCGAAAAACGTTAAAGCGCGGCTTTTGACTTGAAACACGAACTGAAAAGCGAAACGCTCTCAGTCAGGTCAATTAGCCTTGTGCATTGGCAATAACCTTTCTTGCTGCCGTCCATGGCTAGATTGCTAGCTTTCTTCCTTGCGCAGCGCTGATGTGGCAAAAGGTGCCATGGAACCCAATTTTTTTTGTACCTAAAGCACTATGGTTTGGCCACTAATTGCTCCAGAGTCCTGAACTTTGGCTTTGTGAAAAGGAAAAAATTATCTTCGAATTGTTGAAGTTACCTTAGCTGTCCCTTATTTGGGGAAAGAAGAAGTTTCGTCTTGTTTGTTGGTCTCCGCGGGATTACGTTCAGAATTTAGAGGCATGATATATTTTATATATCACTGGTAAAGTGAAAATGTTGATAAATGAACCCGCGGTGACCTCAGAATCCTGTAGCACTTTTAAACGAACCGCTCTGTTTGAGAAAAAGAAAAAGTTAAAGAGGATCTGACAAGTTTTTTTTGTAAAGATTGTTAATCGAGACAAATCAGATGATTAACTCCTCAGAACAAGTGAAACTTCTGAAGAGAAAAATTAATTGGTATACAAATTGGGCAAGTTAAAACAGATTATTAACGATGTACTTCGGATTTGCTGGTTTACTTCACAGGGAGATGTTCAAAGAGGCCGGCAGTTGATCCATGAGGGAATCGCTCTCAGACGAGAATTAGGCGTTCCACTTTATGTGGCTGCGGGAAACTGTGACCTTGGACGTGAGAATTCAAGCATTTTCATGATCTATGCTTAGCTTGACCTGTTTTCGAAAGTTTAATATTTGAACTTATCTGGTTCTGAGCCAGTACTGATAATATAGCAAACTTTAGCTCCGTAACGTGACATGATATGTGTAGAATTGTGGTGTTGCAATCTTAGTTATCAGTTCCATTGTAAGTGATACCTGTCCATTTAAGAAAAAGTGTAGCCCAGAGTTTCACAGCTGTCAGTTATTCAGACATCAAGATCTCAGCTATCAGCTATAACGCTTTATATTAGTTGAAATTTTAGCCAATTTTCAGCGGTCAGTTAAACCCGATTAACACTCTCTCAGTACTGTAAGGCTGGTTGCATGGAATGGTTGCAACCTTTTTTACTGACGCGAGGGCAGAGAATTTCGTTAACGTTTTTGTTCGTATTTGTAAGGAAAAGATAAAAATCGCAGCTTCAGATTCTCCATTAAGTAGCAATTAATTTCTCTAGGACTTCTAAGATGGCTGTTGTGTGTATCGGCCAAGCATAGCCATTGGTTTGTTAAGAAACCCTCAAACTCTCATTGACAAAAGTGATCCTCAGATTCCTCGAGGTTCCTGACGCGTCAATCTATCTCATTTGTTGTCTTTCTATAGATTCGTACCGTCATTGTAAGGAATACGACAAAGCAGTGGAAATCTGGAAAACAAAAACTCTGCCAATTTACAAAGAGTTCCTTGGTGACCACCCGTGGACGGCCTCCATCCTTCAGCATATCGCCTTCGCGTTCATTGAACTTGCAAAAGAAAATCCAACAACCTACGCTGACCAGGCCCAAAGGTACACCACAGAAGCTCTGCAATTGCGAGAGAGGCTGTTGGGAGTACACCAAGACACCGCTCGATCTCATTTCCATCTAAGCCTTGTTTATATCATGCAGAAGAAACTGCGTCCGGCTTTGGAGGAGCTTGATAAGGCGTTTGAATTTCAGGAAGACGTTGTAGGCGTCCAACAGGACACAGTTGACACGCTGAACTTGATGGCAGATGTTCTGAGAAGATTGGGACGCGAAGAAGAGGCTCAGAAGATGACGGAGCGAGAGAAAGATTATCGCACGAGGCTGGAAAAAAGGACTTAGAGAGATGCAGACTTGAGTGGCAATGGAATGTATACAGCGAAAAAAATATTCTTGACTCATGGTCATGGGCTGCTGGAAGGAAGCCATTAAAGCGCACGTAATTGACATGCAAATGCGTCCTTGTCCAATCACAAGCGGAAAGAGTTGTGATTGGATACCTGCAATTAGACGCTCCAGCTACGTGACAAATAGGCGCGCTAAGAGCCAATCATAATCGAGAATTTTGACATAGATACAATTAGTTGAGACATAATAGTTGGACATTGTTATTTGAAGAAACCTCTCTTAGAATCACTCAAACAATCAGATTATTCATTCTCAATTTCTATGATAGTTTGTTCGGCCTTCGGCGTCATCGCCTATCAACTCATAGAAATCCCGAGCTCAAAATCTAATTGCTAAATAGAATAACACTCTTTGCGTATCAGGCACACTCTTTACGTTTTATTGGAAAGAATGCAATTAAATATATATAT